TAAGAACTGGGAAGCTTTCTATTAGCATGATGGGGGAGATGAAAGTTTATTTACCGGAAATGCATAGAGTTAGGAATCGGCAAACTGGTATGTTCTAATTGGGGGGGGTGGGGGGGGTGTTATACTCTGGCACAGGCTGAAAGCACAATTTTGGACCAATGACAGGACTAGATGCATAAAGTTTGTCACCCGGTATGAATGTAATGTGTTAGGAGAGACTTCTTTTGTATCTACCCATGGAAGAGAGAGGTTAAGATACTAAAGATGTTGTCAGGGAGCAACTGGCTTCAGGAAAGCTGTTCCGCCAGCACAATGGACCTGCCATTTGTATGAGTGGCTTGGTCACAGAGAAGTTGAGAGAGAGCAGTTGGCAGGTTAAGAAAGCACTGCTGACCACACTTACTAAGCCCAAGTCGACAACTGTTATGCGGGTTCTGTGTTTTCTTTTCAATGATGTCTGTGGTGAAACGATTTGAAATTGATCTCCAGTACTTGAACACGTCTGGCTTTGTTCAGTGTTTTCTGGTTCTGTGGGCAGGTGTTCTGCTGCAGAATATTTACGAAAATAAACTCTTGTTTTGAAACCATCAATTAGAGCATTTGCACAGCAGAGTTGCTTTTTTCATTAAAACTAATGGCCTGTCAGCAGCTGGGAGGGTGGCAACTACTTCAGGGAGGTGGCATTCCATGTGCCCTTTTCCTAATCACTTTCCCCTTCTAGTCATCCCTTTGTTTCACTTTTTGGTAATTAACAAGCCACCAAGATTGTAGCCATCATTCATTTATGCATTTTCATTGTTCCCATCATGGTTCTTTTGTTCTGCTTTGGGGCCGTACCTTCTGATTCTCAGCAAGTAACTTAGAATTGATCATGTTTCAACTAGTTGCAATTCTTCTTTTAGGTGCAAAAAAGGGTGAGTGGATTTAGAGTGGACTCTTGCACTGTGCAGCCTGTTTTAAGTAAGCTCAATCAGTTATTTGTCAGTATATAGCCCTTGTCATTCAGATTCAGCTTCCTGTCCAGGGCAGAAAAATCCAATTTTCTTAACGTCTTTTTAAATCTCAGAGCTTTTAAAAAATAAAACAAAAGAGAGGAGCTTTGGCTTTGATTTGGATGCAAAGCTGGTGAAATCAAATACAGTGAAATCAGCCTTTGCTTACATTTCAGATCAAAAGACTACAAAATCTATATACCTACAAAAATGTGGTTGCTCTGTATCAGGATTAAGGTTTAGAGCAGCACTTCAAGGAGCGGATGGGGTTGTGTTGCAATTCCTTGAAGGAGAAAGGGATCATGTTTTCCCCTATATTGAGTTGTGCTTCAGAAAATGCTTTCTTGATCTGGATATTAGTATCAGTTGGCCCATGTAATGCACAAGTGACTTTACTAGATAGATGAGATGATGTTGCTGGGATGTCCTAGGAAGAATGTGAGAGGCAAGAATTCTTGTGGGTAATATTTTCTATTGGACCAACTGCATGGTCAGGATAGACCCAGGCACGTTTTTCTCGAGCCTCAGGAAGGGTACTATGATACCCAAAAGCTTGCCTCTGTCTATTCCAACCAGGCAGCTGGTCTTAAAAAAGCTGTTACCTACAAGAATTCTTGGCTCTCACCTTTGCTTAATAGAAAAACGTGTGGGACTTGGTGTTTATTTGGAGCCACAGCCCAAACCAATAGACAGCCCGCTTCATGCTTTCCAAAATGCAGAGACCAGTGGATCTTGCAGAAGGTGGATCTGTTATTACATTGCCCTTTCTTCCTTGGCGTTGATGTTTTGCAAGCCCCAGTGCTGTTCACATGTTTGGAGAGTGTATCAATTATGCAGACTCATGTTATTGCTATTAAAAACCACCTTAGTTGATGCAGACAGCATTTCTTACCCTTGAGGAAGAGACAAACTTTAATGACTAAGCGCTTGGTCATACATTAATGTTATTCCAGAATAAGTTACCTGTGAATTTTAAAGCACAGCATCTCTGCCAAAGTAACTGCATAAATGGGCGCTTCTGGAATTAGCATGTCTGCACTTCAGATTTTTTCTTATACCTAAGGCTTGTATACATAAGCTCTTCCTGACCAACTCTGAGTTGCTGTCTTTAAGCAGGGAGTTTCTACCATAACTTCCCTTCTGCCATTGACACAGAGGAGGAAAGAACCTGTTTGCATGTAAATTTAATGCATCTTTCCTTTGAGACTTAATCCATAGATCATGGGCAATGCCTGTTCACATCTGTAAGTGATTTAAAAAGCGCCCTTCATAAATAAAGCCTTTAAAATTCTGTGTTTATTGCTAATCCTGAGATTTAAACAAGCCTTCAGTGTCACACTTCATTCTTCATTAATTTTTCCATTTAATATTTCATTCTGCTTCAAAGTCAGCTCGATTCATTTTACTCCAGGCTGCTCCTTTGTGTTGAGTTTGGTAGGAAGAGTTACAGAAATACTTGTAATTGATTTGGTAAAAGCTTCATTGGTGGATGGAAAAAATGGTATTTTCCAAAGACCAGGTCAGACTATTTTAGCTTGTCCGTTAGAGATGAACAACCAGTGCAGATAACTTTCCCTTCATACAGTAGACTGGCATAGTTGGTATTGGGCAGTGACTTTTATACAGGACTCTTAATTGGTTTAAATGAGTTGTACCAATAGCCCCATCAGTTTTTCTTTTTTTTTTTTTTTTTTAAAGTATGACCCTATGCTAGTATTTACAAGGGTATTTTCATTTGAATCTCCAAGATATCTACAGTGTTCAGCAACACTATCCTGCATGGTGTTTTATGCTCACTCTCACACCTTAAGTTCTAAACATTTTCCAATGAACTGAAGAGTCTGAGAGTATTTAGGATGTTTAATGCAGGTAACAGAGTTTATTAATGTTGCTGGCATTGGCTTTTAATGTCAAATGGATTTCTACAAAAACTTTTATCTATAAAATGCTCACTTTTATTGCTGGACAAATATTTTTCTCTTGATTTGATGTATAAATCCTGTGCATACCTTTCAATAGTACTTTCAAGGAGTTTATATGGTTTGAATACTATATTTATGCTTTGTCTTTTTTTACTGAAGAAACCTGCATGGTTTATACTGTACTGCCGAAGATAACTACATTAAAACTGGTTTTGGCTAATTTTTATTATGCTGGTGGCTGCTGATTTCTCTTAAGTTAGCCTCAACACTTGATAGGGAAGAGGTTGTACTGTTGCAGGCCTGAAGGAGCTTTAGCAAATGGTTGTCTGGGGACAGGGAAGTGTGTCCATAAAATCTTGTGCAGAAGGGGTTATGAATTTCTTTATATAAGCCACAGGAGCGACCTGAATTCCTACCTTGTTGATGTGTTACCTACCCCAGTTTCAAGCTTGTCAGAAAAGGCTTTGCATTCCAACTTGTTGCTCAAAGGCACAAGGATATGGAGCACAAGCTACGATCAAGAGAGCACCAAAAGTGCCTTGTTTTCAGTGTTAAGAATATTGTTAATGATTCTAAGAAGGACACTAAAGTGACAAATGAGTTTTACAAGCAGACAATGCAACCATCTCATACTTTAAAAAATTCCCTTTTCAGCTTAAAGTTGTGTTCACATTGTCTTCCAAAAAACTTGTAATGAGACAAGATCCTGTGTTTAAAATATTTTAGACAATGGGTACATATGGCCACAGGGGACTTATGAAATAAATATTTATTTCATAAGTACTTGGATCCCATTACTGGTCATAAAAGTCTGAATAGCAAGGAAAATAAACCCTGTTGGACAGTGGTAAATACCAGAAACTGTTTATCTCTTCTGCCAGTTTCCCTCCTCTTTAAAATGGCTTCAGTAATACTGCTTGATGTGCCAGAGTTTTAACAGGGCATGACTGCTAAGTATTGTGTAGATGTATAGAGTTTTTACTGGCTTCAGCATTTCCATCCTCCCATTTTCAACCATATCTCTATGGACATTTCCACTACAGCTGGGAAAGCGTTATGGGAATGGCTGAAGGCTCCTTTATTTTTCAGCACCACAGAGCTTAACAAGGCGTCTACAAATGTTTTACTAGTTGGAAATAATCCATACAGAATACAATTCGAAAAGTGGAATCCACAGCTGTGGCCACCATCCAAGGCCTACAAATCGTGCCAGAAACCTACCGTGGCTGCTAATGGTGATGCAGAGTTCAAAGTGCATTCATCTTTTCAGTATCATTTGAAAGGGGCTGTAATGACTAAGCTGGAACAATGCAAACGCCACCAGTGTAAAATTAAACATACGCCATGGTAGTTTAGTTATTTTATTTTATTTTGCTCTTGCAAGCAGCCATAGAACAGGGCTGTGGAAGAATAAATAAGTTAAAGCACAGAGTGCAGCAGTTTATACAAGCACAACATTGAAATGCCTTTTGTTTGCAGTAACTGAATGTGCTTTATTATTGCACCTGATTCAATGTTCAAGAAGCAGCCAGATCAAATGAATGTAGATCAAATAGCTCCCCTTTGGCCAAAAAGATTCTGTAAATACACTCTTGGCCAACCCAGCCACAAATAATAAAATGTAGAAAAAAAAGATAATAATGTACAGTAACACAGGCAGTCTGTGCTTAGTCTCAGTCTGTTCCAAAATACTTTTGTCCAAAATGTGTTGGTGCAACAGGATGAACTTCTGTCGTTAAAATTGTGATCTCAGGAAACTCCTGGATGATGGATTTGGCACCTTTTGAGAAAGGAGAGAGAGAATAATTTACACTCCAACGGTATTTCAGCCCTATGCATGAAGAACTTTAAAAGCAGATGAAGAGGGGTTTGTTTCCTCTGCAGAAAAGCTTTAACAATTGTGTATGGTCCTAATGAACAAAGTGGGTAGAGACTACTGTGAGTTAAACCAGCATTTCACTGAGCTCATATGAGAGTTGTGCCAGTCTTAATTACAGAAAAACCCAAAAGATCACCACTTCTAGAAAGTGGAGAGCAAGTTTCATTTCTGAAAAATGATTATAAAATCAACTTTCAGAAGTAGATGGCTGTGCTGTTGCCAGTCACAGTTTTGTAAGCAGATTTGTACCATTCTGATTGTTGACATTTGGTGAATGGATACTTTTTGCTCCTCTCCATGTACAGAAGATTTGCACTGCTCTGTAGCACATGGATGCTTTCTGTGCCATGTGATGCCTAGCTCCAAGTATAATTCACCTTTGCAGTTCTGCTGCATGTGACAGTAGGCCTGCTACATTTCCCTGAATTTCTGGGTGGTCCTCACAGAACATTATAACTTCCCCATCATCCCACTCCCCTTCAAAGAGAAACCAGAATTTATTCTTAAGGCCTCAAAACTCAGCACCAGCCAAGTAAGATGAGACCAGAATCCTTTTGTGTCAATCTGTGCTATGACAGTCATCAACTTGGTGAAGCATGTACCATGGAAGATGAAGCATAACCACCAACTGAACTGCGACCTTTTATGCAGCAGTATATAACACCTTTTGCTCATTTCTGTACCTAAAATGTTACCCATTTCTTCTAAGTTGCCTTTTCTCCCTGTTCATCTATCAAGTGGACATTTAGGAGATCTCAGTTGAGTTGCATAACTTGAAGTACTGTGGACAGTTCTCCATTATGAATGAACCAGGTTCCTTTAACTTACCGTGGGGTGTGGAGAATAGGCTTAGCAGGATTATGACACTTGGTTGAACACCGTGTTCTATGAGAACTTTTACAGCCTCGATTACAGTATTGCCAGTGCCTGGAGGGAAGAAGTAAGTAATTTTCCTATCAAAAAAAAAATCTTCATGATTCATCGAGGATGAGTTGCACTGCTAGCACAAAGGTGCTATTCAAAGGGCATTGCTCTGCTGTCAATACTAGCTGTAAGCATATGGACAGCATATACCGTCCTATTCCTCTCAAGCACTTCATCTCTGCACAACGCTCGATCTTAATGTGTGACCATCAGTCCAGTGAAGTTAATGGGCTTGAGACCACTCCCTAAGACAAGAAATTTATTTGAAATAGGAAGATGGCAGCCCAGGGCTTCCTGTGAAGGCCCAGAATCCAATCTTAGAGAATTTCTTTCATCCTCACCACCAACTCCTTGTTAGCATTGCTTAGGTTTAATTTTAAAACAAAATATCAAACACTACATTTCAAGCTTTTAAGTAATTATAGGGTTAATTGTCCTTTGTTTAAAAGGAAGCATTAATATTAGAGGTGTACTGTAGCTTGGTCCATATCGTATCGGGACCGATAAAAGGAAAATTGACATTATCAACAACTGGCTTTTTTTGGTTAATGTGGCTGATAAATGCTGTGTGCAGCCGCATCAGGCAGACGGCCAGGAGTGCAGCCTGGCAGCTTGGAGAGCTGCATCGGGCTGGTAAGTCTGGGGGGAGGGGGGAAAGGGGCATT